AATTGATACAACATCATTCAAAACTAACGTTTGGAAAGAAGGTAGAAAGAAGTCTTGAAATCCTTGAATCTCTTCAATGGCACCTTGATCAATCTCTTTGATTCTTTTTCTTCTTCAACCCAAGTAATATATGTACGAAAATCATGTATGGAGGTGTTTTTTTTTAAATCAAATTTCTATGAAGCTTGAAAGAAACATGTATTTGTAATCAAAAGCTTCCTCCTTAGGCTTCTTCTTTGTAAGACATGCGTCTATTGTATTTCAAGAGCTTCCCTTTAATTAATAGATGGATGGTTGTATATGAAGTCTCCAAAACTCAATCAAAATTCGTATTCTAATTGCCTTTCGAGTAAAGATTGAATCAAAATAGGAAACAAATCTTTTTTGGCTAGAATTTCTCATGCGATCGCACAGTACAAACTGTTGTAATCACATGGTTGAAGTGTTGAATAATTTTCCAGGATGAGATTGCCTCGCACAAATTTTGCCTCCCATTAAAGATGGTCCCTGACTTCGTCCTCTAGTTCAATTCGAGTCATTCCTTATTTGCACCATGGGTCCTTAATCTTTAAATCTTTATGTTTTGATCTTCATCCTCCACAATCATTTGCAATTGGTCCATTGCAAGTTCCAAAAATTTAAAATTTTATCATCAAACTTTTCAAATGTTGGATTTAGCTCCCTCAACTATTGAATTTCTTCATATTGGTCTCTTAGTTCATATTGATCACATGTATTCCAGTTGATCTTCAATTACTCTAAATAAACTCCAATATGTTTAAAAATATATATATTTCTTCGCACCAATTGCCTTCAAATTGGATTTTCTCTGACAATTAATCAAATATACACTAAATTAGATAGATATATGCTCAATTAGTATTAAATAATCAAATTTAGAAGCTCGAATTAGCGTATAAAATATACTTATCGGTATTTATAGAATGCACTGGAGACTAATTTTAAACTTGTATGTATATTTATTAGATATTAATGTCATGTAGGCCGGAAGTCTTTCTAATTTCGTGTCCTCTAAATAGATATATGCATTGGAGATGCTTTAATGATGAATAACATTATATAATCATCAATCTATGTGATAGTGGACCCTCTCATTAATTATTCAATGCATTAAAATGCATTACAACTTTACTGAACACTGAATCCTGGTTAACTAGCGATGATCATCGTTAATCTAGGTAACAATGGATCATCTGATTCATTATTCAATATATTAAAATGCATTAAAACTTCATTTAAATAATAAATCAAGATATCCATTGCTACTTAAAGTAGGTATAATTGATCATGGCAATATGCCAATATTCAATAGCATTACCCTTTTCATTCAAATAATATTGCACCCATTATAAGCAGTGGACTGGAGGTGACAAGTCGCAATGGGGTGGGGTCCAAACACGTAATTCACAGGAGCCATATTATACTGTATGGAATGCCCTTTTTCAAGTAAATTGGTGGGTATGTTTTTTAAATGAGATAGGGGCTGGATGTACTGAAGCCACATAATTTCACTAGAATACACATATTTGTGGGTTTCGTGCAATTTTTTTTTTTTTT